ATTGTGATTTAAAATTTCCAGATGACTATGTTTGTTCTACATATCCCTCATGTCTAATTTTTATTGGACATTTTGCTGGCATGATTGTTATTTAAACTACAGATTTAAAAATAAATTATTATTTTTCTGTCCTTTTTCATTCTGATGCGGGAGAGGCAGAGAAAAAAGTAGCTTGCCTCTTTGGAGCTGGAAATAGCTGCAAAGTAATACTGAGGCTTACACAATGTTCTTCCTTATATTTCTTTAAATAGAGAATAAGTACCAAGTCATAATGGGAATTGGAGCAGATAAGGCAAGAGGAAGAGAGAAGTTGTTGTAGTACTTTGTAGCACTTTCCTGAATGCTCAGGCAGATTCTTCCGGTTGCAGCTAGATATTCACATTCACATAGTTTTACTGAGTTTTTAACACATATTTATTTATTAATCTCAGTCCTGCCTGTAAAGTCCAAAGGACAAATAACTGCAAGTACAGTTTACATTTGAATGTGCTTCGGACTTCACCTAATGAGTAGATAGAAATGTATTTAATATGCTGTACTAAGTGAAAACTTAGTACATCTCTGCAGTTCTGTCTCTGCCTGGACTGTGTGTGTTACTTAGATAATATTGCTGATCTGCTGATTAACTTTACATGCAAAATAGAAATGGAGTTCTCCAGGGAGAGCTAAAGTTTGCTAGATAAGAGCAAACAAAGCAATTGTAATGAGAATATAAGCTAGAGAAGGTTACTTACAGAGGATTTACCTTCTTAAGGATTAGATTTTAAAATATGCATAGCTGAGTTGAAATACTTACATAACTTAATAGCATGTTTGAACTTTACCCTCATTACCTTCAAATATCTCTGTGTTTAGAGCCTCCTGCTTGACTCAGTGCTATAGACACTATATTGATAGAAACCAATACACTGGGAAACAGATGTTATACAGGATTGTTGTAAATGGAGGTAGCCTGGCTGTTCAAAGCCAAATCAGCTAAATATCTCTACATGGACAGGCCTATAAGATGCATGAATTGCTTACATCAGGCTGGGGAATCTAGTGACCAAGATGTGGACAGACCCCATGTTAGCCACTCCTTGCCTAGCTGGAACTGGCAATCACACTGTAAAGTCATTATGATATCACTGACATTTGTGCAGTTAAGTAAAATTGTTCTCTGCACAATTAGTAGCAGGCTGGTCTTTCAGTTGTGAACCTACCACACACAATTATGAGCCCTGAACATTTTTAGCCTAAAGACAAATCATACATTGTACCTAGATTGGACTGAAAATAATGGCATTAAGATAAATATTTATTTCTTACTACAGCATTTACTGTATATATCACAATACTCTATGCAACTCCAAGTGGTTCACAATCATAACATATACAATAAAATAATAAGTACCATTAAAAAGCTATCCATGATATTCTCCATAGTTTTCTTTAACACTAAATTTCAAAAGTATTAATACTCTTTCTATCCTGCTTTTTCAAAGTCGAACTTTTGTTCATAGAGTGTCACAAGGAAAACCATTGCCTGCGTGAGTCTACTCTTTGTAGGTATAGACACATCACAGTATCTGAATATATTTTCCAAAGCTTTCATTACTACCCTACCATTACTACCCTGCCATGTGCTAGTCTGTGGTGTATTTCCTGAATGCTGCTTCACTACTAAAAGTCAATCCTAAAAGGCAGAAGCTATTCACCACTTTAATATTCCAAGGCTGGTTGCTGTACCTATTATCATTACTTTGGTTTTCCTTATATTTATTCATAGTTAAGTTTTTTCACTGTGCTCCTTGACTTTCATTACTAGAGCTAACAGATCACTTGCATTTTCTGCTATCAGTATACTTTCATCAGCACAGCACAGGTGTTTGATATTTCTTCTTCCAGTTTTAAAACCACACTCATCTTCTTTCAATCCAGCCTCTCTCAATATACATTCAGTATAGAGATGGTATAAATAAGAAGAGAGTGTACAACCTTGTCTCACTCTTTGCTGACCTGGAGCCAGTCTGTCTCACCAAATTCAGTCTGGGCTGTGGCTTCCTGTCCTGTGTAGAGGTTTTGCACGAGGACAATGAGATGTTCTGGGATTCCCATTTTCCTAAGCACATTGCACAGCCTGACACGGTCAACGCAATCAAAGGCCTTTACTGTATACAGTGAACATATTATTTTTGGTATTGTTTGGTTTTCTCAATTATCTAGCATGCATATCTTTTTTCCTCACCTTTTTCTAAAACCATCTTAAACATCTGGCATTTCATTTTTTAAGTTAGGGCTCTAATTTGCATTGGATGATTCTAAACATTATTTTGGTAGCTTGTGAAATTAAGGATATTGTATGATAGTTTGCACACTATGTTAAGTCTCCTTTCTTTGTTATTGGTGACTGACCTCTTCTATCCTGTTGGTCACTGGGTCATTCACCAGACTTGCTGGCATAGTTTGGTTAGAAGACCTACTGATTCTTCTTCTGTTACATGGCATATTTCTGGCGATATCCATCAATTCCTGAAGCTTTCTGATTTGGTAATGATTGGAGTGCTGATCTGACTTCATCTTCTCATATTAGAGGTTCTTTTAAATGGGGAATATATTCTAAGGTATCCTGGATGTTAACATCTCTACTGTACTGTCTAATATTCTTTGAATCAGTTACTATCTGTCATTTATTACCTTTAGCATACTAATTTAAGATTAGTTTACAGATCTTTTAGAAAGCTTCCCTTGTATTTCCTTGGCCTCTTTTCAGATGTCATTATAATACTGCTTCTTGTCTCTTCTAATAACTTTCTCAGATTCTTTGTTAGGTTATTTCGTGAGATCTTTGTCTTTCTTGGCCTTGGCTTCTCTAGTTAGCAATTTCCACTGCTTGTTCTGACATTCAGTTTGGTTTCTTCTGTTTCTTGGCTTTGGCAGTCTTTTTTCACATTTATCCTTAAAAACTTATTTGATTTCATTCCACAGTTCTCCTCGTTCCCTATCTTTTTTTTAATAGTAATTTTATTATATTATAATTACGACAATGAAAAACTAATACAAACTAAAAAAAAGAATAAAAAGAAAAATAGAAGGTACAAAAAAGAAAAAGAAAATAGGAAAAATAGAAAAGAAAGAAAAAATAAGAATATAGTAAAGAAAAAGGAAAGAAATATATAAAGAAATGACTTCCCCCTTCAATACAAGTATAAACGATTG